AAGTCGGACGCTTAACCGACTGCGCCACCCAGGCGCCCTTCTACCCATTTTTTAATTGGATTATTTGTTTTTTTGGGTGTTGAGTTTTATAAATTCTTTATGTATTTTGGATACTAATCCTTTACGTGTATGTCATTTGCAAATACCTTCTTTGATTCTCTAGATTGCCTTTCAGTTTTGTTGATTGTTTTCTTTGCTATGCAGAGGCTTTTTATTTTGATGTAGCCCCAATATTTTATTTTTGATTTTGTTTCCCTTGCTTCAGGAGATATATCTAGAAAGAAGTTGCTACAGATGATGTCAAAGAAGACTGCCTGTGTTCTCTTTTAGGATTTTTATGGTTTCAAACCTCACATTTAGGTCTTTTCATCCATTAAAAAAAGCACAGCACAGAGCCTGACATGGGGCTCAAATACACGAACCATGAGATCATGACTTGAGCCAAAGTCAGATGCTTAACCAACTGAGCCACCAAGGCACCCCATCATCCATTTTAAATTTATATTTGTGTGTGATGTAAGAAAGTGGTCCAGTTTCATTCTTTTGCATGCTGCTGTCCAGCTTTCCCAGCACCATTTGTTGAAGACACTGTCTTTTTTCCAATTGGACGTTCTTCCTGCTTTGTCAAAGATTAATTGACCATATAGTTGTGTAGTTGTGGGTTCATTTCTGGATTTCCTATTCAGTTCTATTGATCTATATGTCTATTTTTGTGCCAGTACTGTACTGTTTTGATTACTACGGCTTTGTAATATAACTTGAAGCCCAGAATTGTGATGCCTCCAGCTTTGTTTTCTTTTTCAAGGTTGCTTTGGCTATTTGGGTTGGTTGGTGGTTCCCTACAAATTTTAGGAGTGTTTGTTTTAGCTCCGTAAAAAAAAAAAAAAATGATGTTGGTGTTTTTTTGCCTTTCGAATTTTTTTTTCTTTTAGAGTTTTCTTTCTATAATTTTTTTAATAATTTACATCCAAGTTAGTTAGCACATGGTGCAACGATGATTTCAGGAATAGATTCCTTAAGCCTCTTACCCATTTAGCCCATCCCTGCTCCCACAACCCCTCAAGCAACCCTCTATTTGTACTCTATATTTAAGAATCTCTTATGTTTTGTCCCCCTCCCTGTTTTTATATTATTTTTGCTTCCCTTCTGTTCATCTGTTTTGTATCTTAAAGTCCTCACATAAGTGAAGTCATATTTGTCTTTCTCTGACTAATGTTGCTTAGCGTAATACCCTCCAGTTCTATCCACATAGTTGTGAATGGCAAGATTTCATTCTTTTTGATTGCCGAGTAGTACTCCATTGTATGTATATACCACATCTTCTTTATCCGTTCATCCATCGATGGACATTTGGGCTCTTTCCATGCTTTGGCTGGTGTTGATAGTGCTGCTATAAACATTGGGGTGCATGTTTCCCTTGGAAACAGCATACCTGTATCCCTTGGATAAATACCTAACAGTGCAATTGCTGGGTTGTAGGGTAGTTCTATTTTTAATTTTTTGAGGAACCTCCATACTATTTTCCAGAATGGCTGCCCCAGTTTGCATTCCCACCAACAATGCAAAAGAGATCCTCTTTCTCTGCATCCTCGCCAACATCTGTTGTTGCCTGAGTTGTTAATGTTAGCCATTCTGACATGTGTGAGGTGGTATTTCATTGTGGTTTTGATTTGTATTTCCCTGATGATGAGTGATATTGAGCATGTTTTCATGCATCAGTTGGCCATCTGGATGTCTTCTTTGGAGAGGTGCCTATTCATGTCTTTTGCCCATTTCTTCACTGGATTATTTGTGTTTTGGGTATTGAGTTTGATAAGTTCTTTATAGATTTTGGATACTAACCCTTTATCTGATATATCGTTTACAAATATCTTCTCCCGTTCTGTCAGTTGCCTTTTAGTTTTGCTGATTGTTTCCTATGCTGTGAAGAAGCTTTTTATTTTGATGAGGTCCCAATAGTTCTTTTTTGCTTTGGTTTTCCTTGCCTCTGGAGATGTGTTGAGTAAGAAGTTGCTGCAGCAGAAGTCAAAGAGGTTTTTGCCTGCTTTCTCCTCAAGGATTTTGATGACTTCTGTCTTAGGTTTAGGTCTTTCATCCATTTTGAGTTTATATTTGTGTATGGTGTAAGAGAGTGGTCCAGGGTCCTTTTTCTGCATGTCGCTGTCCAGTTTTCCCAGCACCATTTGCTGAAGAGACTGTCTTTATTACATTGGATATTCTTTCCTGCTTTGTCAAAGATTAGTTGGCCATATGTTTCTGGGTCCATTTCTGGATTCTCTGTTCTGTTCCATTGATCTGAGTGTCTGTTTTTGTGCCACTGTTGGTGTTTTGATAGGGATTGCTTATGTATAGAGTGCTTAGGGTAGTAGAGACATTTAACAATCTTTGTTCTTCCAAGCCATGAACATGGAATGTCTTTCCATTTCTTTGTGTCATTCAGTTTCTTTCATCAGTGTTTTACAGTTTTCAGAGTATAGGTCTTTCACCTCTTTGGTTAGGTATCTTATACTGTTTTGGTGCATTTGTAAATGGGATTGATTCCTTAATTTCTCTTTCTCCTGCTTTGTTATTGGTGTATAGAAATGCAACAGATTTCTGTATGTTGATTTTGTATCTTGCAACTTTACTGAATGCGTTCATCAGTTCTAGCAGTTTTTTGGTGGAATCTTTGGGGTTTTCTATATAGAGTATCATGTCATCTGCAAGTAGTGAGAGTTTTATTTCTTACTGATGTAGATACCTTTATTT